TGTCCGGTAAAATCGTGGACAAGTTGTCTATATTGAAAAATAATCATCACTGCTTTCTAAAACTTTCACTACATTTTAGTACATTTTTCATCAATATACATAGCAAATTTCAAATAGATATCTGCTCAAAGAAACATAATATGAAACTGTTATGTTATGTATGGTATCGCCTTAACGTCAAAGTCTTTAAAGCAGCGTCACGTTTCCTCTTTGCTAAATAAAAGTTGGATAAGCCCCACTAAAACATTCGGGGATTTCATTGATGCACAAACTTGATTTTCCCTTTATTCCACCAAAAACAGTCGAGGAACCGATCTTGCACACACCTGGGACCTTCTGAAGATTTATTAGTAAGTTATGGATAGTACTCTTACTATCATTCAACTAAACAGGCTCTCTTATATTGACGGTCTACAGTAACAGCGTCTTTTGCTATCGCCAGTGGCAGAATGTCCGTATGTTTTGTTCTACCTGGGGACCCGATCAAAATGCTTCCGCTAAGAAAATACTAATTTCACTTGGATACTAAAGATCAGGTGATATTTTTTCTATTTCTTTTCTTCTGTAGTCATTTAAAGTTTCTTAGGGCGTCATTACTACATCCAAATCAGACTGAACTGCTCTCCGGTGCGCCGTAACGTCACCAAACGTCACCATTTTTCGTGTGTTGCGCTAACCACTTTCCCATTTCAAATGTTCAGGAAACTGCCAAAAATTAAGCAAATGCCTTGATTTTTTACAAAGACGAAAACATAGATAGTGGATTAAAAATAAGATAATTTTTTTACCCCAAACCTTATCTATTTAATACTTTTATTTCGAAATAATACTCGTGCCCCTGTTTTTTTTTTTTTTTTTTTTTTTTTTTTTTTATCGTGCGCCGTAGGATCGTACCCTGTGCATATTTAAGCATAATAAAATCTTTATTTTTGTCTATATTTTATCCAAAAATTAAGATGCACTTAAATACTGTAGATTCCTTATTTTTCGCGAGTACTTATTTTCCAAATGACTCTTTAGCGTCAAATCGCGTCAAATCGCAAGAATAATAATTCGCGAGTGGACGGTTAATCGAGTGATTTTACACTGATTTCAGCACCATGAAAATAAAAGCGAGTAATTTTATTTCGCGAGTTGTGCTTATCGCGTAATTACGCGATAATTAATTCCTAGCATATTTGCTGAAAATTTCAGCTTAGTGTGCCGGTTATTTTTCTAGAAATACGCTTTGTGCACGATTTTACCGTACTACCCTCGAAGATTATAGTTCTTTTAGTTAAAAATATATAATACAAAGGCGTGATAACTTTTGTTGATACGAGAGAATATTACACATAGCTTATCATAATGCTAAACATCTACCTTGACACAAAGGATCTTTCCAGTTATGTCTGCAACCAGATAGGCAGCTTCCGTTTTTCGTGTCACAAAATTCATCAAGACAATTTCCACAACGGGTTCTGCAATTCTGGTCATAGTATTCATCAGCACATTCTAAATCAATGGAATATATATATATATATATATATATATATATATATATATATATATATATATATATATATATATATATATATATATATATATATATATCAAAATGCCAGTTTTTGTAGTTTTATAAAGAACATCATTTTTTTAATCATAGCTTGATAAAGAAATTCTGGCTCACAATGTCGAACCACAGACCTGTTTATACGTCTAGTTATATAGGATTTGAATCCTAGATTAAATTTTTATCGTTTGTTAAGGAGAAATGCTGAAAACTGCAATTAACAATTAATTAATGGTGACTAAATTATTTTCAACGACTAAGGATTTTGTTTAATAAAATGTGAACAGTTTCGATGGACTAATTCCTATCTTGTGAACGAACTAAACTTTGACTAAGCTTAAAATTATGTTCAGGATTTAACGGAAAAATTTCCACTGGGAAATTTCTTATTGTGTGGGGACGAATGTAAACCCATAGGGTTTAGAACGGACATTTTATTTGAACATTTTAAACTTGGACTATATTCATATCATATTCATTTTAGTTATTAATTGTGAACTTAGTAGTGACAGTAAAATAAAATAAAAGTTTGTTAAACGGAGATATACATTGTTTGTGTACCACACAGGAAAAGAGACTTTAACATCATGAACTATAATTATATTGTTAAAACAAATTGGATGTTGTTAGTGGTACACTGAACTATAATTTTGTAAATTCTTTTGTAATGAAATTGATCAGAATAGACCAATCAAGCCCATCAATACTAAGTAATTAAATTTGAACGGAAATGTAAAGTTACTATTAAGATTCTTGATTAAGAGTAATAAAATTGGGAACTTTGTTCAAAGCAGATAAGTAAAAGAGCCTAGGGCTAGAACTCCTGTGGTGCAGAGATGGAGAATGAGTCCATAAATATTATTAATGAAGGTATACCTGTATTGGAGGGTGGTATCATGTTGGGGTTCATAGGTCAACGAACAGACCTACGGACAAAGCGTAGGTGGCATGGCAATGTTAAGTAAGCCAATGAAAAGCACATGTACCGGTACTTTTATATCCTGGACCATGAATACCCTCTGAGCACAAAATACCCTGTTTTGTCGGAGAACGGTACTTTACATTATTCTTAACTCTACTCTTTGACTCTATCCTTCCTTCTTTCGACCATTCATTAGGCATCTATTGACTCTTCTGATTAAATTTGGACTCCAATTTCTTTGGACATCACCTTAATTATTACTTTTGAAGTTTTAGTTCTACGGTCTTCTTGAATATTTGGGACGGATCTTTAAAACTTTTGCTACAGTCAGCGTATTGGTCTATTCTGATGAGATTTCAGAAACTAGTGTATAAAAATCTATACGATCACGGTAGTTTAATAAACTTTTCAAAAAACTTACAAATTTTGTCGTTGGCTTACAAGGCCAGAGCAATTGTTGTTTTTTTTTTCTCATGTAGATTTTTTTTAATATATTCTGCTTCTTAGGAATACAGGTCGCTAATAAAAGAGCACAATTAGTGCCTTTTGGAATAACAACAGTTTGTTGGAAGACCTGATCTTCAGAGACTACATAAATATTGCCAATAAAGTATTTTTAATATCAACTTCAGGGTACTTCTGTATAGAATCAGAGTGTTTTTTTTTACGAATATACATTCCAAAAACACTTTATCCATTTTGGCAAAGTGTTCAGGTACTCCCTTTCATAATTTGCACAACGTCTGACATAAACTTCAACAGAATCCATAATAGATATGAAGCCCTGTCACCAACTGAACGACCGTGGCTCCCTGTACTTAGGACCCTTTAAGATGATTGTTTTGAGTACTTCATTTTCAATAGTATTAACATCACCAGTAATCATGCGTTCACAGGAATGCAGTTGAAAAACGAAGGAGAGCAAAACCATTTACAGTCCCTGAAACGTTCTACTTTCCCACTTGAAGGGTGAGCGAAATATGAACGATCGCAAAGCGAACAATGAGTAAACCATGTGTGAATGCTGAACGTAATTTGGTGAACAGTTGGTAAACAGTGAACGGTGACTGAACGCAGAACGCGAAAGGAGCGCTAACGCGAGCGCAAAGTTAACGGCGAACGAACGGTAAACGCAAGATGAACGATTTATTCGGAATATCTCATTTTTTTTCTTGAATTGTATGTACTCTATTGTATGGCGGAAAATGAATAAGTAAATTAATCCAACGAATAAATAAATTTTAGAGTACCGACATAACCAAACCATATTATTTTTTTTAATTTTTTTTTTAATTTTATTTTTTTTCTTTCTTCCTTTATTTATTTATTTATTTATTTATTTTTTTTGGTTCTGAACAATTCCAGAACAAAATAAATAAATAAATAAATAAATAAATAAAATAAAATAAAAATGCCCGCATTGTCCTAAGAAAGATGGTACATGTGTACATGCACATTATGTATACACAATATTCGTGTTTTTTACAATATTTCATGCTGTAGCTACAAGAGTGACAATTATTATGTGAAAAAAAGAAACATATCACACATAGAAATAACGTCTCTATATGAGTGAACAATTCTCGAATGGTACGCTAAACAACATACAATCAATCAATCAAACACATAGAAATATTTTACATAGATCTATAGATGTGTTGCATAAATACACATGTGTATTAATATTTTCATGCAATAATATAAGTAATATGAAATTCTGTTCGTAATCTTCATATTTCATTTCAAGATGTTAATTTTTGCTTATACACTTCTATTTGAAAGCAAACCATGCATTGTTAAACATTTAAAAAAAAACTTTCTGCAAAGTGAGAGGAAGGAACAAAGGCTAAAAATGTTATTACTTTTGTTATTGATTTATTAAATGACGTTTAACGGCACATTCGATAATTTTTCACTCGTTTAGAAACGTCACCCTATGCCAATGAAGGGCTTAAAATTTTGACCTACTCAGATTCATTGAGCAGTGAAGGTTTTTTATCCTGCAAAAGCCTACTGGAACATGGGGACACGATTTTGATCTCATCCAAAACACCCCTGAAAATAACCTTTAATGTCCGACGTTTGCCGTAGAAACAGTCACTATCTATGTTACGTAATAGTTTTGAGACAGAATATCGAAAAAAAAAATCGAACCCAGCCTCCTGATCACGAAGAGAACACCAACCACTATGCAACCGTGACAATTTTTTGATTGAAAGTATGACAAAAATTTGCTGAGTTGGGGATATTAAAATTGCTTTAGTACGGAAAAGGATGTTTGCATAGACAGGGAGTAGCTGATTACAGGTAAATGTCATAAAAAATTAAAGGTCGCATATGACAGGAAGCAAAGTACAGGTGATCGCTCTGACAGGTTTGAATTCAGGTAAAATTAACAAACAGAGATGGATTTAAAAAAATAAACGCCAAGCAATACAAATCTGTGAACGAGATATAAAACACAGACATTTGGATATTCCAAAGGTGGGATCAGGTACCTAGGAGGAGTGTAATTCAAACACAAACTTTTACAAAGATCCCCTGTCCAGTTTTTCATACAGCCAGACGAACAATTTCCGGTTTCTTTTTCACAGGGTGTCATCTTTACAGTACCTGCATTGTACACATTCTCCATTATAAGCATAAGTCCCGTCATCACACACTGGTGAAAAATAATACCAAGTAATTGAGTTGATTTCCAGGGAATAAGTGATTATGCTACGCTATGCTGTGTATAAAAATATCATTCAAGATCTTAACATCAATTCTCTGTAAGGACCAAAAATGCTTGGCCACACGCTATCATGGAATTTTATTTTATCACTATAATATTAGAGAGTGCCCTATGTAAAGACTATTGGTGGGTAAATTTTGGACAGTGTCTCCTTGGTTTCCATAGCAACGACTTTGAAATATTTTGTTATGGCAAATCTGACCTGATTGTCATCATTGTCATCACATCATTGTAAAATAAATCTGTGCTTCCTTAATGTAGGAAAGTTATGAACATAACATGAGTTTCTTTTTATAGCTAAGTAGTCAAAGTTTCTTTGTATCTAAATTTTATTCAATTTAACCTAAGGTTTTTGATATGATACAGATCAATTTACATGAATTTGTCATAAAAATGAATACAAAGGTGCCTATTTCTGGATATGAATATAAATTTTTGCAGTCAATTGAACTTAGTAAAAAAGATCTTTTTAGTAATGATGCAAAAAGATTTGAGGTGGGGAAATCAGTTAAAAGTCATATTCCAATCCCCTCAAATTATAACTTTTCCTAAAAATTAATCTAGAGTTATTTCCCTTTGCTGACTCTTTTGCACTGAAGACAAAAAACTAAACTGGTGTAAGTTCCCTTTGTTGACTCTCCTGTATTGAAGTCTAAAGAAGTTTATAACAACATATGGCAGAAAGAAACCCCAGAAAAATAAACATGAAACAATAACAGAAAAATGATGTGTTTTTCAACTATTTAAAATGGAATTCAGGTGTGAATGACAAAGTAAGTCATCAATCAATTAATGAAAATAAAGGAGACACTGCTTTTTCATTATTCAACTTGATAATGATGTACGGATCTTTATAAATATTTTTTTAGACAAATTCACTTTGCAAAATATTGAAACAAAATTTATGAAGTCTGATTTGCATTCCCATCATGTGGAATTTCATGTACACTATAACCCATGAGAAAAATGCAAGATGAAATTGGAGGAAAACAACAAATTTTTGGTAACTTTATACAGTTTAAAATCTGATTTGGTCTAAAAGTATTAGGGGTGGTTGGTAAAAAATTGTGATGGTCGACTTAATGGAAACAGATAAAAAAAAAATTAAGCTAAAAAGAAGTCATATAATTCAGATTCACTGTAAAAGAACACACCATATTTAACTGCAGATACAAATACACACCAATAAGATATAAATATGATATATCCATGTAAATGTATGTATTCATGATCGACGAAAATGATTTTTTTTTAATTTGAAAAAAAACACACCATATTTTAGATGTACTGATGCTTTGAAAAGAAAAAAAGATGAAAAGACACATAGAGAAATATTTTTTTAGTAAAAAGCAGGTGAATTTTTTTTAATGTAACAATTGTCTGGATATGGAAAGGAATAGAAATTTTCATTTTTTAATGCCAACTTCCACAATGAATTTATCAAATCTTTTATAAAAGTGAATGAAATAGTGTTGATCACTTGTATGAATATCCCTAATGCATATGATTTACACAAGAAAATTGCATAGGCCAATAAATTAACTACAAGTTCGTTTTTAGTATCAGAGAGTATGAATTTTTATAAAAGGTTAGTGTTAGGTTATATTTTGAATTTTTCAATCGTAATACCTTGTTAATTTGTCATAGAAAAATATTTTATATAAAAAGAAGTAAGGGAGAACTCTTGGGGTATGGAGCGGACGAAGGTGTAAATTCTAATTACTAGCTAAGAATTATATACATTTTAATAAAAATAGATATGTTTATATACTTGTATTTGTTATCACATGCAAAATGAAGTAGATATTAAACAATTGATTTTTGATTAAACTATACTTGTATGTTTTTTTTTTATTCCAGGGTAAAAGATGAAGATGATTATTTCAAGTATCACATTTCAAACCCGTTTAAAATTCCTCTTGACTGGTCAGACACAACACCACATAAAGGTCAACCTCTGATGTAAAGAAAAATCATGGAAACATCAAGCCTCGCTGTTTACTATTGCCTACAAAATTGTTATAAAATTGCTATTTTCTACATTTTGTTTATCTCTTAATACACGTTTTGGATAATATTTAGATGTAGATTCTTGCTTGATTAATAATTTAAAAAAAGTTTTTAAAGTAACGATAAAATTATATATATACACAATAATATGTGTATGTTTTCTTAGTGTAAGACTGTACATTAATGGTATTATTATTAAAATGGGGGTGTTAATTTATGGTCAGTCTAAATAATTCTAAATTTCTTTAACCAAATAAAATTATTATTTGAAGATATGCATCTGGGAACAAGAAAAATGTAAATGGAGGAAATTAACATCAGCTAACCTGCTATTACCTACTCATGTATGAAAAAGTAATATTTTATTATTTATTTATTATTTTTTGGTTGAAAAAAAGTATCATTAGAGTTTTTATCCATTATCTTTTTCCATTTTTATCTAGTATTTGAAAATATGTTTACTGAAATAAGTTCCAGTGAATAGCTTATTTTCTTTAGATTTTGAGTTATCTGCCCTTGAAACAACAATAATTCAATTAATTTTATTTTATCTGATTTGTTATATTTATTATATTTAATAATATATATTAATCATTCGGTTTGTCTTATTTATTAGTGAGAAAAATGTTTAGAAAAGAAATTTTATAAAACAACCAGTTTCTAGTAACATTTTGAACAAAATGTTATTTGGCAAAATGATAATTTTCGAAGTTAAAAAATACTGAAAACGAAATAAAACCCCACTCTTCTTTTCATAAAAGTTAACTAATATTATTATGGTGTTTTTAAAATTTCAAGTGATTTTTTCTTGAATTGCCTGCATTTCTTGAAAGACTTCTTGAAATATAGGGTAAAAATAACCATTTTCAAAATGTAAAAAAATTGGGCATCTTTGAGCCATTAATGGAAGAATTTGCAGAGACTTGTAGATTTTTTTTATTGCGTTATATAGTGCTTCATTCGTTCTATTCATATAATGTATGAATTATCTCAAAATAATACAGATAATTAAACCACATGAAATCATGTATATAGCATTTTTATGCTTGAATTGAGAGTAAATGGGGCAAAAATCTATATTAGCCCGTTACCATGGCAACCAAGGTAGTAACCTTAATTTTGAATGTTGATTATGCCATAATGTATGGACTTTAATCACCTGAAAAAGTTTCATGAAAATCGCTCATGGTGTGTGCCACAGCCCTAAAGTAAAATTTTGGTCCTTACAAAGAATTGATGTTAAAATTGCTCCAAAAGGAGAGTACTTGATCATTCGAAGAATCAAAAGAAGACATGACTTCTAGCATATCGATGACAGGCAGAGCAAAAATCTTATCTTAATACACTTACAGGAATATTTTTATTGTTTGAATTTTCTTCACAATATTCTCCAAAAAGTATTTCCATCTGAACAAAGTCATTTTCGTATTCATTAGAATTGACATATGTGCTATTATTATTATCTTTTGAATCTTTGTATATTTTCTCAACCTTCTGACGTTCACATACAAGCAATCTAATTAAAATTAGATGTTCCGAATCCGCTACCGCTTCTCAAACATCTAACAACATCCCATTCGGGGTCACATCAGAGCGACCTTTCGAATACCCACTGAAATCGCCGTCGCCGAAATCTTGGCTTATAGTTCGGATGTGTTTCTTTTTTTTAGTGCCAAACCTAAATGCCCGAGGGGTTTCGTAGTAAACAAAATATGCATAGTAAAGACCGTGCTATATATGAATGTGACGTGCGGGATATATAGTAGTTTGTGCATTTTCGTTTGCGATATTCAGGTAAGAATGCCAAAATTGTGGACTATACGTTCAATTTATACCAAAATACTTTAATTCAACGTAAGACACTCTACTGAGCATCAAGAATGTAAAGATGTAGCCGTGGAACTAATTTGAGAATTATATACAGAAGGTTGAATCTGATTAGCCAAAAGTTTTATGTTTATTCGTAATCGAAAGGTCGCTCTGACGTGACCCCGAATGGGATGTTGTTAGATGTTTGAGAAGCGGTAGCGGATTCGGAACATCTAATTTTAATTAGATTGACATACGAGCAAATAAAACGTATAAATCAAAGTTAATTACAAACATAAAATCAAATGTCTTTATCATAATATAGTATTTCTCTTTTTCTCTGAGTGGGAGCTTTGTTTTTCTTTTCCATTCCTTGATGCTGTTTGTTTTTCCTTGTAAACATGCAGATGTTAATTGTTGTACATTTTCTTTTAATTTTGCCTTTAATTAGATACGAGGAACATATACTCTAACAGGGACATACCCCTGTATTTTAACAGCTTTATGGAAATCTGAGACATGAATTTTAAATTTTATTCAGAAGACATATTTTTAAATGCTTATATTGCCCTTTCCATTTCCGAAAAAAAACCTTACCAATACAATCTAAGGACACGACACTGTGATTAGAACAGCCATAAATACATGATCCGTTAAAAGCATCACAATGTTTGTCCTCACACTTATCACTGCATGTATTAGTACATCCAAAATGATATCTACTTTTATCACAACCTACAATGAAAAAAGACGTTAGCATAAGTACAATATGTGTGTGCGTGTTTTTTTTTTTTTTTTTGCTTTCTTGAGAATTATTTTAAATTTATTTATCCAATACTATTTTAAGGTGTTCAAGGTAACGGTATTTAAAAGACAGTAATACATTCTACGATGTTTTTCATCTTACTAAAATCTAAAAATCCGTTAAAAGACACGTTTGTTAAGCGCAACCTACCCATTACTATTACCTCGCATACTTCAACTGTGGTCTATCCTATATTTACACCCGAACAGCTTGACGTAAATCCGTTTGGTCTTTTGTTAAAGAGGGCCATTCCATAAGCTAATTTATTCACAGTTATGTTCTTGAAAGGCACTGGGCA